ATTCGAACCTCGGTCAATACGAAAATATCGAAAGTTTTCGAAATCGAACTTCAGTTCGCTTCGCAAATATCGAAACTTTTCGAAATCGAACCTGGGGCGTTTCGCGACATCCCTAATATCCACATTGTACTGGCATTACGCTGTATTCTTTTTAACACATGTAGAACTGATTTTGAGTATGTAATAAGATCGTACTTACCACCATCACATGGAGGGTGTAGAAATGGTTGCAGCACAGCACATCGCCTTCGCGGCGGTGGGATCGTTCTTGGACGGGCCGACAATGGTGATAATTGTCTCATTCATGCAACCAGTGAGGCCGGGTATCCTGCCGAGCAGCCTGAGGCCCCTCTTTACGTCGGACCTCTCACTCGGCGTCTCGGAGAAGCAGTCCCACACGACGCATGATAGCAATGGACACGACTCACAGAGATGCTGACTGTCTTCAGTCCCACATTATGTGCTCGTCGCTTGCCACCAAACTTTGGAAGCACTCCGTGGCATAGAAACGAAGTGTACACAACGCTTGGAGCTCCACAGTCATGAACGTCGACACGAACTTCGTTTCGCAGTCTCTTTACCTCCGGTTCCTCGCGCCAATGTTGTCTCACGCCGTGTCGCACAACCACCACACCAGATTCTTTGGCAGGCAATGCTTGCGATCTTCCGGGAGCTTGAACGCATCGCGGTGTTGCCGGTAAGTCTTCCCGGCGAAAACAATAACTACATTAGTTGAAAAGTGGCATAATAACCTAACAACGATGCGCTTTGGAAAACACGACTGACAAAAGACACCTACGCAGGTGCTAGTACCTTTTTAGAAAACAAAATGTCACGAATATGTCACGTCCAGTAAGCCGACTCTGCACAATTTAGTCGACTCCGCCTGCATTTTTGTAGGGAAATTACATCACTCTTCCCTCCAACTAACCAGACGTCAAAACGTTACTTCAGTGCACTTTTAAAAGGAACATGTACATTGTCGAACATAGCCGCCCAGGAATCCTTGGTTTAGCACCGCCCCTGCCCTTTTCGATCCGAATGACTATCATAGTATCATACTGGCCTCCGGTTGTGTAAAGGACCGAAGCGCTCAAGTTTCGCCGCTGACTACAGCGCCATTCCAGCCCCTGGCGGGACGCCCGAATCCGAGTGGCTCGTTGTTTTTCGCCTCGCTTCTCCGTAGAAGGCGGTCGGATATAACATTCATTGCGATAGAGACGATATAAAAGCCCGGCTAGCACAAATATTTCGTTGTTAATCGCAGCAACAACCTCCGATATTGTTGTAGTCAATCCTTAAAATTCTACCGCTCCCCTGAAAAGCCGTGCGAGACTCGAACGGCGCCAAGCCTGGACCACGTCGGTGCTCCGCCAAAAGCAAGTTTCTCGTTCGTTGGAAGATCAGTTTTGCTAAATACGCGGGAAAAACTAAATGGAATTGGTGTTAAAATAGAAACAGAATGACTACCGAACGCGGGAAAGTCAGTTGGCAGTTCCTGCGTGACGTAATATTTTATTTTCGTGCGCGTCTGTCGCTTCCCTTTCGAGGTGTTTGACGAGGCTTCGGTCGCTATGTTGGATCCCTTTGGCACGAATATTTTAACTATAATCACTGGCAGGGTGAGAACGGCAGGGAGAAGCTTCAGTTCCTCCAGCACTAGCTTCCAACCTTCGACAGGGTTTCTATCTCGCGACCGTCAAGCGTTCACGTGCAGCCACATCGCAGCGGAGGGCAACGAAGGCGTGCTGGAGCTCGGCCGTTCACAAGAGACGCCAGGCCTGCCTTTCTGACTTTGTCAGCATACTTCTAGCTAGGGGAGGGGCTTTTGGGGGTTGCGAGTGCAGCTTTCTTCTGCCGTGTGTGTTTCTTAATCGCTGCTCCCGTTTTTTTAGCTGTTTATAGCCATCATGTATGATTCCCCCCCCCCCCCCCCCTCCCTAACAACACACACAAGGAATGCACTTCCAAACTGCCTCAACCAGCCAGCCCCCCCCCCCCCCTTTTTTTTAAATAAAAAGAAAGCCTGATTGTGTTTTACTTGCTAGAGACAATGACAGTTTCTATTATTACATGTCAATTTTCCACTGATCACACCAGAGATCTTATATTATTGATTTATTTTTCAGTGGGGGCGGTTCAGTTTTGATTCCGCCAACGTCAGCGAGGACCTGCAGCGTGCACTTCGTGAACACCTGCAAGGACAACGCTGAGGCTCATCCTGCAACAAGTTACTAGACGAGATGCCAGCTGAGGTGTTTAATAAAGACTAATTGCAGGGAACCTAGATTCTTAGTTAATTTAAATTAATTTTCACTTCCTTGCTCGAAGATACAGGTGACCTTTCCTCATCTATTTTGCATTCTCTATATCAAATCAAATGAAATCAAGTTTTATTTTTATGTGCCCGGTTCTTAGCCAGTTAAAAGTATCGTTAGTTGATTGGCAACTTCTGTAGTCTCCTTCGTCTTCGAGTTGCACGTTTTGGTTTAGTCTGTACCTCAAGATTCAATATAGCTCGGCTAAAGATGGATAAGCTTAGGTGACGACTGCTTTCTCACGAGCTGGGAGACATCTTTCGTGAGATATGCAAGATCCCTGAAATAGTCGGGGTTCTCGGCCCTACAATTTCTTGGACAGTCCTTGCTTCTCGAGATGTGTACATCATCTGCAAGTGTCCTGCCGGCCATACTTCGAGTCTGCGCCAATGTCGCCGTGTTAAGAGCACGAGAAGAATTTTTATATTGTCACAAGGTCGTGTGTTTACCTACTCGTAGTTGTGACAAAACTCAATAAAAATATTTTTCACTGTCAACAGAACATTTCTGATAGCGTTGCATTATGCTGCTGTAGCATATTTTCCAGACTATAGTCCGCAGGGGCAAATTTGGGGTAAAAAATAGATTTTGCTTAGATTGTACACATACGGTGTCCGCACCTGGTGCTTAGTCGTCACGAATATCCTCTCGTAGACAGCACACCTTGAAGAATGTCTGCTTTCTTAGTTCACGAAGAAGCTCGTATTATACATAAATTATCATTAACATACTCTTTCATTCACAAAATCCGTCTCGTCTCGTCATAATCAACGATATTGAAAAACAAAAAATTTGCATAGTCCGCACAGCCTAAAATTTCAACTTTCAAAAGTATAGCCCAGAAAATATGGTATATTCCTGGAAACGCTCGAAAACATGCCACGAAAGAAACTTTATTCAATGAAGCAGCAATTAAGCACTGACAGGCATTGATTATTTTTCCAGAAAATAAAAATTGTTCTACTAATGAAAACCTATCATGTGTGAAAAGACGGTGTCTGTTCCTTCTACTGAAAGTTCTTCCGATTTCATCCACCGCAGTCTCAGGTGTAATACGACATGATTAGCTATCATGTGTCACTGGTGTTTTCTTTGCTACACAACATTTTCCTCCTAAAATGTCCCACACAGTAAAGTATGAATCAAGCCCCCACCCAATATTTGAAAATCTTGCACGTGGAATGGACAACTTGAACCTGAAAGAGAAATGAAGTCTTTTTTATAAATCCATCCAACTGAACCTTGTCATGAAAATTCAACTAAAATTATGTGCAGTCATATGCATAGGAGACATTTATGCTGGAGATTTAGTCTAGGCTAGCCTCTTCGTTTTCCCTCTTTCTGACAGAATCTCGCGGCACATTATTGTTCAAACTCGCAGAAAAAGTACCATTAATCAGCAGGAGCAGGTCCCAGTAACTGCAACCTACTGCCTCAGTGAAGTGGGACAAAAATACCTGGTAATAAATCTACGAGGCCTTTGTTCAGGTCGTGCCCTGGCGTTTTAGTTCCCTACTGCTGAGGCAGGCTTATTCAGGAAGAGTTTCAATACTAATAAAATTACGAGCGCCGGCACAATGCTCGCACCGGTCCGAGACTCCAGCCCAGCGAGGACCTGCAGTCTCAACTGTACGCGGGGGACTTATCTCTTCCCGGAATTATCACCCTATGCCCGCACGATCCCAGACACGTTAATATTTCTTCGACGTGGGTGAGCCCGAAAAGCTATCCCACTCGTAGCCTCTAGTGCGAGAACGTAATCTGCCGGTGGTTCAGCGACCGAAAAATAGTATTCCGACGTCGTCTAACAGGACTCACGAGAACAGTGGTTCATTGTGATTAGTAATCTTAAAGGCACGATGTTATTACAGCGCAAAATTTAAACAAGGGGACGCTCACCCTGTAAAGTTATCTCGTAGACTTTTGCACGGCCGGCACGGCCGTACTTGCGAGGCGGGACCTGACTCGTTGGCGGGGAAATCAACCGCTTTCTCGGTGGAAGATGCGTGTTATTGAAGCTTCTCCATCGTTTCTTGACTCACCATGAGAAATAATTCTCGCACGCTTTCTATCCTTCTCTTAATCTTCACTGTACGCTCGAAACACCTGCGACGCCTATGCAACGCTACGAACACGACCAACGCGACACGACCATGTGTTGTTACTGCGGTGGCGCTACCATCGCAATTTCGAAGCGCCCCCCTGGTTGGGCGAATCGATTCTATTACTACCGCGTGATGCACATTACAGATCCTCAGGCTAGCACTTGCAATGTCTAAATTTCTCATCAACATGAGAGACACCAGATATCCGTTGGGTCTGATTAACTTCCAGCTGTCGAAATGCACACACAACACGATTACTTTTATGTTACTGCATGCCTTATGAGCATATGTTTACAGACACGTTTCCAGCTTTTGGTTCTTGACAGATGATACAAGTTGCAATTTATAACCATACGCACCTTTGGTAATTGACCATTAGGACAGAATTTTCAATAAACATAACGCAGAAGAATAAGGAAGGTAGGCACACGTCAAGGGTATTTCAACCCCATTCTCCAGGTTTAAATTTGCTATGCGCCGTCAGGACTATACGCATATATGAATTGCAGCGTTCCTCCACGCGTACTTCTTTCCAGGCAGATGCGAGAACACTGACAGAACAACATCGCAGACTTACTCGTGCTGCCAGAGGTAGTACTTGAGGAACTCCACGAAGTGCCTCTTGGAGTTGAGGTGATTTGCCCGAGCCTCGGAGCTGCGACAGCTGTATTCACAAAGCTCGCATCTGTACTGACCGGTGTCGGACATAGTGACACTGCCTCGTCCCTGCGCCTTGACGAATTAAATACAAGGCCACATCACGCACACTTCACCGCATGGCGAGCATACCTTCAGCTGACAATATCGGTACGACCCGACAACTAGAAAACAAAACCGTAAGCTCACCCAGTGACGTTGAGGGAATAGAAGTTTCGCTTTCCCTTTTCAGCCAAACACTGCCGACGACCACTTCTGGTTACCAGCCGAAATTGGCTGCATAACTCCTGTGCGGTGCGACAAGTTTTTGCGTTGATAATTGAACGTTTGAATCGGCTGGTCGTGGGTGCCAGCGGTGCCAGCGCAGCAAGCCAGAGCCGCCAGAGCCGCCAGACAAACACAAACCACCGCAACTGCCGCAACCGCCAGAGCCCGGATGGATGGATGGAGCGTGGATGGAGCGGACGGTGGTAGCTTGCGCCACCTAGTCTTG